CTTCGCCACCTCTCACACCTCCGCCTGCGCTCCCTGGATCCGCGGACTCGCCCCGTTCGCCGTACCCCGTTTGTCCGATGGACGACGAGCGGTTCGAGGCGTCCAGGGACGAGCAGCTGGACGAGGCGAGGAGGTTCATAGAGAGCCAGTTCGACGAGCAGCGTCGTCGACGAAGAGACCCGGAGCGAATCGCTCCGAGGTCCTCCTTCGGAGACGTCTCGCCGCCGAGAATCACCCTGCGGAACGAGTTCGACGAGGCGATCGACGACGAGTTCCGAACGATGTCTGACGACGGCGACGCTCCTCTGCCGATCCTACAGGAGGAGGAGGAGCTCGACGAGCAGGAAGAGCGCCGGGACGAGGACGAGGACCGTCTGTACGATAACGTGCCGGCGATGAAGTACTCCAGCGGCGACCAGGTTCGCATGGAGGTGGCGCGAGGGGACAGCTCCGAGGACATGCACGAGAAGTACGCGGACCTGGCGCTGTCCTCTCGCGCGGCCGGAGATGACGACTGGTCGTTCGAAGAGGAACGAGAGACGGCGGTCGAGAAGGAGAAACCTAGATCGAGTAGTAAATTTGAAAGAGGGTTTTCAGAACCGACGGAGGTAGGCAGATACGAGACCAGGTCCACCGAGCGACCGGTGATCGTCCCTATACGAGCAAAGTCGACGCCGTATTACTCGACCACCAGTCTCAGCGGCGAATCCACCACCTCCAGCCCTCCGATGCAGATCAGAACGCAGGTACGAACGAAAACGATGCCTTACTCCTCGAGCAGAAGCCCGCAGAGCGAGGGCGACACCTCCTCGAGCATGGACAGTCCCGTCCACACGCCGGTTCGTGGACAGACGACTGTCCATCGACGGAGAAGGGAGAATCTGAAGAAGCGCCATCGGGCGATGCTCGATCTCGAAGTGAAGGACGGTCAGATCGTCTCGAGCACCGATTCCAGCTTCGACGTGGCCACCGTGCCCTCGCCTCTGCTCGCAGAGCGTCCAAGTCCCGACGTCGACGACGACGACGAGGACGACGAGTACTCGGAGGCCAAAGAGAATCAGAACCGACGACAAAAGCAGCGTTGACGAGACTCCGACGTCGCGTCGCGTCGTTCGATCTCCAGGAGAACGGACCGGGACGCGTGATATCGATCGGGAGAGAGGGAATATCAAAAATTAATCGCTCCAAACGATTAGCGCGTTCGTTACTCGTTTTAGGATAATCGAATCGATTGCCGCGTTCGGGCAGTCGATGCCGCGCGCACCGAGTCTAAGCAAGCGAAGAACGAGACGACTGTTACGCCCCTAACTAGTCTAGGGATACGCGATAGGATAGCGATAACGATCGACGCGCACGAGACGCGTCGGGATCGATAGGATCGTAGCGAGGTTTAACGAGCATCCTCCGAGGAGAGGAAGGGAGAATCAAGGATGCCGCTCGGATTTTAAGGAGAACGACAATCATTGTTGGAAACGAGCGAGCAAGACAGAAGACGAGCAATCGTCGGTTTGAGAATCGGTCGTATTATTTGGTCATAGTTTAGTTCGTGTTCTAGGACGGAAGACAAGTTGCTCAAAACGTAGGTACTTAATTAAACACGATTATCGCGTACTTTCGTTCAATACGCTCGCGAGGAATTGCGAATCATGGTGCGAGTGGCGGTCGAAACGGAACGCGCGGCGCGGAATATATCACGGTAGGTTTAACGAAACGTTCGTCGTTTAAAGATCACGATCCATCCGCAGCGCTCCTCCTCTTCGGATCTCGTTCTTCTTACTTTTACTTTTCACGGGTTGATCTCTGATGCGCTGCCGCCAAATTCATAACGCGTGCGCAGCTGTTAGATTCATGACACATTCGCGGTTGTCAGATTCACTGCGCGTGCGCAGCAGTCAGATTCATGACGCATGCGCGATCGCTAGACTCACAGCGCATGCGCAGTTGTCAGATTCATGACGCATGCGTGGTTGCTAGATTCACTGCGCATGCGCAGCTGTTAGATTCATGGCGCATGCGTGGTCATCAGAGTCACTACGCATGCGCAGTTGTTAGATTCACTGCGCATGCGCGGTCGTCAGATTCACAGCTCATGCGCACTGACTGTTTAACGATCTGGTCAAAAATAAATATAATTCGTAATCTGTAATGATCTAAACTGTTGTTAATCTATTTATAATTATATGTAGAAGCCTGTATAATTATATATATAATCTATATATAATTGTATACTATATCTACATATAATTGTACAGATTAATAATTGGGATAACTTCAAACACGAAGTGCTAAAATTATATTGTGGTGAATTGTCGGTAAATCGACAGCGTATTGGGTTCGATCGTGCTTTATTTTCCGGGTTTCTCGTTGATCGCGAAAATATCGTAGTAGAACGTCTTCCTCGAGGTCGGACCTTGGTCTCGATCGAGCAGTGTAGTAAAGTCAATTATAAAGTTTCGTCGATCGATGAAAGTAAATGCAGACGCTCGTTTTAAAAATACGAATTTTACCTTGAAAAGGCCTCGACGCGAGTCGTCAGGGCCTTTTATCCGCGTGAAAGAGAATTTATTCGCGGCGAAGGACGTCACGATGACGCGAAAGCAAGAAATCGCGATCGGTCGAGAAACTGTCAGCGAGTAACGAACGTTTTTGTGCCTTGCGTCCAACGACTCGGACGTGGGATACGCGGGATCGATCGGGGCTAAATTTGTCGATCGACCTTAACGGGTTACGAGAAAAGAGGGTAAATAAAAGACCCGAGGGTCGGGTTGGGTTAAAGCGTTAAGCGCGTCGTTGGTCGAAGCGTAAGGGGTTCGATTAAAAATAATTCTGTCGCGTTTGAAAACCTCCTGCGCGATTTTAACTGTAAAATACTTTCCGTTTTTCCGTTCCGAGGTGTCGATCCAGAGCAATAATTTACATTCGTAAGACGCTGGTAGCTGCGAGTGAATCGTTGACGGAGGCAAGGCTAGTGTACTCGTAAACGCTTGTCGAAAGGGGATAGAAAGAATCGAACTTTTCGTTCTCGTCGCGTTTCGATCGTCCGAAACGAGATTCCTGACCATCAACCCTCAAACTTTCATTAAACCGACACAGTTCACTGGGTGTTTTTTTACGAAAAGGTTTCGTCTGAAGGGTCATATCGAATTTTAATTAGTTTCTTGTTCATATACGGTTCATTCGAAGTTGGGTGTCGGTGTATTTTGAGGGTTAACTCTCCCCACGTAATTGAATATTTAAGATGGTCAGAGACTTAACCCTTTCCCTGCGCTGCCTGATTGATCGCTGAATAATTCGCTCGTTATTTAGAGACTCTCAGGAGAAATTCGAGTTTCGTGGCTAATTCACTCGTCTTCCACGCGGAGAAACGGTCAAGTCGAAGGCTCGTTTCGACGACGGAAGCCGCGATAAAACGCGAGATCACACTCGGATGCAAATGTTTCCTTCGACACGCAATTTAGAATTTTCAATTTTGATGTAAGATGTGTGGTTCAGAGATGTGGAAGTTAAAAATTAGATGAGAATCTTGGGGAGTTAGGGATTTGAGAAATGTAGGGAGTTAAGGATGTTAAAATTTGAGACCTTAGGATTAGGAAATCTAAGGATTAAGGGTTTGCAAATTTTGAAACGTTCCAAAGTTCCAAGTGTCGCACTTGTCGGCCATCTTGTTTATATTAGCGTCCACCTCAAACTTTCAAACTTTAAAATTCATTTAAATACTTTTAGCTGACTTTATTAAACTTGTGAAACATGTAAAAGACATGTGAACATTGCTGTAAAATATCTTTCTGCAATAAAGTCTACTTGTAAAAACTTCATATGGGCTCGTGGTCGTAAAAATGAAGCTTTTACTAGTACAGCACTTGTCGGCCATCTTGTTTATGTTAGCGTCCACCTCAAACTTTCAAACCTTAAAATTCATTCAAATAATTTTAGCTGACTTTATTAAACTTGTGAAACATGTAAAAGACATGTGAACAATGTTGTAAAATATCTTTCTGCAATGAAGTCTACTTGTAAAAACTTCATATGGGCTCGTGGTCGTAAAAATGAAGCTTTTACTAGTACAGCACTTGTCGGCCATCTTGTTTTTTACGGCCATCTTGTTCAAATACCCCACAATAAGGTATTCTTATCAAGTTTAATAAAATTGAATTTTGTAAGTGACAGATGCTAATATAAAGATGCAAAGTGCGACTGAATATTATGGATAAAAGTTGGAAATGAATTAAACGCACAGAAAAGGAAGTTGCGTCCGAGTGTGTAGCGCGACGCGTCTCGGAAGCGAGACAGTCCGTGTCCTCACGGACGATCGTTGATCGCGTAATCGTTGAAAAATAATCGTTAATCACCACCGTGACCCATTAATCGCCCCCACTCCATTAGTCATTGTTACGCTATTATACACTTAATTGATTACGAGGTTACATCCGTAGAGCGCAGTGAAGATTATACGAAAAAACTAAACTACGTATCGAAAGTTATAATAGGAAAGAGTATATGAAATTAGAGGGCGACTGGCGAGTACCGATCACCGATGGCGAGGTTTTTCACCGACGAGTCATTTCATTCCGATAGATCGACGACGAGAATTGATTCGAAACGCGTGATCGTGGATCACGAATTACGAGTGGATGTCGTCGTATCCTCGATCTATCTACGAGTTCCTGTATCGGTTTCTTGTCCTCGTCTTGCATTTGTGCATTGTCAGTCCTGTCCTGCCATCGTCTACACACGCACGCGTTTCCTCGAGCACTGTTCTTTTTGTATTCTTGGTTTCTGTCTGTGTCATCATCGTCTCACCCCCTCCATTTTCATCGGTTTTCTGTTCTTTCCTTGGTTTTCTTCTTCGTTGTCGTCGTTTCGCACGCGTGCGTGTTGCTCGACTACGCAACGCGTACAGCCTCGAGATATTGCGCTCGAAGTTTTCGGATCCTAGTTCCAAACGGCTCTCGGGCCCGTTCGAAACCGAGCCAACTCCGGTCCGCCGTCGAGGCGGAGTCACCAAGAAAGTACGAGACGAGGCAAACACCGGCCAGTTTCCCCTCGTTCAACGAGAAACAGACTGTTTTGCGAAAACCTCGAGCTCGAGAGCGAGGCTGATAATGATGTTGATCGGTTCGCATCGTTAGCAAAATGACTGACGCTTGATTCGTTACGATATGAACGCGTGTCGCGTGCGAGGTTGTGCGCCATCCGCACGCGTTTGCACGCGACACGCGTGTTACCACTTATATATATTATATATACATATAATATATATTTATATTTAATTATAGACGTAAGGATAGTAATGCAAGGGTCGCGATACCTGCAATAGGGATCAAGGTATTAGACGTAAAACGCGTGCAGATAACTTGTACGGTTATGCGAGCTCCCGGTTGCAGCGCGAACTTTCTTTTTTATTACATTTTGTCGCGTACGGCACGGCGTTCGATGCACCTTGCGACACTTTTATGCGTTTTTACGGTGTGGTACTTCGGAGAGATAACAATTTTCTACAGTTCACAGCTAAAAAGATAAGGCAAATAAGGTTTAAGATGTTAAGATTCCTTCGGTAACCCTTAATTATAATTAGAATTGAAAATTGCAATGAAAATGTGAATCTGATTTGATATATGTGAACTGTAGTCAAATTGTAGGACAAGGTTCAAATGGGGATAAGAATAAGGAAAAATTAACTCTGTGTGACGTGAAAACTGGACATTCAATAGGTAGAGTTGAAAATTACGGTGAAAATATGAATCTGATTTGATATAAGTGAACTGAGGTCAAATTGTAGAACAAGGAGTACAAACGGGGATCAGAAAAAAGAAAAATTAACTCTGTGTGTTGTAAAAATTGGATATTCAACATGCAGAAATGGAAATTACAGTGAAAATATGAATCTGATTTGATATATGTGAACTATAGTCAAATTGTGGGACAAGGGGTTCAAACGGGGTTAAGAATAAGAAAAAATTAGGTCTGTATCATATAAACACTGGACGTTCAATAGCCAGTATCGTGTTGTGAACTTTACTCTTAGTTTGCGCGGGAAATTTGAATGTCGCTTCAATATCGAAATTAAAACGAAGCAAGGAAAAATTTACTTGGTAAACCCTGAACGTTCAATTACTAGACAGTCTCGTATACCGTGAAAGCTTCACTCTTATTTAAGGCATTCAAATTTGCGCGGGAAAAATTTGGCAGGAAATTTGAAAGTCGCTTCACTAACGAAATTAAAATTAAACAAGAAAAAATTCGCTCTATGTGATGTAAATCATGGACGTTCAATCAATAAGCAGTCTCGTGTACTGTGAAAGTTTCACTCTTATTTAAAGCATTCAAATTTGCGCGGGAAATATTTGGCGGGAAATTTGAATATCGCTTCAATAACGAAATTAAGATGGAACACGAAAAACTTCGCTCTGTATGATGTGAATCTTGCACGTTCAATCAATAAGCAGTCTTGTGTACTGTGGAAGCTTCGCTCTCATTTAAAGTATTCAAATTTGCGCGGGAAAAATTTCGCGGGAAACTTAAATGAAGTTTCAATAACGAAATTAACAAGAAAAACTTTGCTCAGTTCCTGTACATTTAATAGTGTACAGTAAACTCTTAGTTTGCGTGGGACAATAGCAGTCGAAACCCTTATAAAATCAATGAATCTTAGTTTGCGCGGGAAAAATTTGGCGGGATATTTGAATGTCGCTTCGAAAGACTACCCCGTAAAGCGTACTATTTTGGATTTTTGGCTGTTCCGAAGGGAAGCGGATGAAACGCGTGATCGACGTCGTCATACCAACTGTACGTGTGCTTCTCGACAGGTGGTGATCCGAACAATCGTTGGAGCTACGCGAACGGCTACGTGAACTCGCCAGCTTGGCACGTGCCACTTCGCGTGGCACAGATTCGTAACGTAATGGTTCACGCAACGCCACGCACCCTCACCAATCGATTCATACCGGCATACCCACGTTGAGAACAACGCGGGCCAAAGAAACAAATAAAGAAGTACCACGCTACAGCTCCGAGAGACTATCGGGGCCTTCGTTATCGCGCACGACACTCGGCCAAACCGGAGTGACGCGTGTATCGACCGGAGAAGACGTATGCCCTCTTCGCTCTTCCATCTTTGCTGCTTCGCGTTTTGCGACAATCCCGTGACAAAACAACGCGTCGATATTTTATCCACGACAATGTCGCGTGGAGAAGAGCACGGACGCGGGTTGCGCGTCCTCGTCTTCGAACTGCTGACATCTTCGCGGCTTTCTGATCGGCTGGATCAATTAGGATCACGGTGACGGCGAAACGATGTTCACGGATATTTTTGCTCGAGTTAGGGCCGATTCGTAATTGCGTTTTCGCGCCAAAATAGATGAGATCATTTGACGGTATTGATTTTTGGATTTTTAAAGCTTCAAGCTTTTAAATTTTCAAATTTCGGAAATTTTAAATTAACGACTCAAGATTTCTAAATTTCCGCATGAAGGTGCTTAGAACTATAATTTTCTAAATTACCAGATCCTAAGTTTGAAAATCCCTAGATTTTTAATTGACAGATCCTAATTCCTAAAATCCCTAGATTTTTAGTTGCAAAATCCTAAGACCAGAAAATCTGTAGATTTCTATGTACCAGATCTTATTTACAAAAATCCCTAGATTTCTAAGTACCAGATCTTATTTACAAAAATCCCTAGATTTCTAATTACCAGATCCTAAGTTCAAAAATCCCTAGATTTATAAGCTTGATGGCTTAGAATAATCCTAAGACATAGAATCCCTAGATTTCTAAGTTTAGGGCGAACCAATATCCCTGGATCTTCAAATTCATGGATTTCTAATATCCCTAGATTCCAGTGTTACTTGATCCCAAATGTTAGTATTCCTCGTCTCTAAATTTTAATATCTCTAGATCTCCGAATCCATAACTCCACAAAATCCCTAGATCTCGAAATCCATAACTCCTCAATATCCCTAGATCTCCAAATCCATAACTCCTCAATATCCCTAGATCTCGAAATCCATAACTCCTCAATATCCCTAGATCTGCAAATCCACAACAGCCAAATATCCCTAGATCTCGAAATCCGCAACTCCCCAATATCCCTAGATCTGCAAATCCACAACAGCCAAATATCCCTAGATCTCCGAATCCGTAACTCCCTATTATCCCTAGATTTCCAAAACATAAACTCCACACCCCATATCTAAATTTTGACTCTAGTAGCCTCTGAATAAATTTAATGAAATACGAATCCGCTATAAAGAGTAAAAATTTCCGTGGAGAGGATCGTTTCCCGTCGCGTTCAGTCGCGTGCCGTCGTCTCGCGGCCGAATATTTTCTTCTCTCTTTTAGTCACCCACCCCTTGTCCATCTTTTCACCCACCTGATTAGAACGTTCGTTTATCACCGTGTTCACCACGACGCCTCTCACGCTTGCACTGCACCTATAGACAATAGAACGGTAGTTGGCGTTTGTCCCAAACGCGAATATTCCTCATACTGTACATACAGTCTTCCCTCCGTTTCACTACGGTACCATCGAACCCCGGTAGAGTTCTCTAAGTCCCTGTAAGTTGCATCGACTTCGTCACTTTCCGATAGTTTCCCCCGTTTTCGATCCCCCCCTGGTATCGTGCGCGGAGATGTGAATTTTTGTTGCGAGACGTCGACGCGCTTCCGGTCTTAGGCTTCGCGGGGTTGAACGACGGTATCGCAACGCGTCGAGACGCGATCAAACTAAACTCACATCTCTAGTTGCAGTGTGGTACTCGACTCTCTCCTACCGCGTGCACACGCTCGCGCTCGACGTGGTTCTCTACGTAGGAACCTTGTGAACCATTACGTAGCGAAATCCCTTCACACGATTCTACACTTGATTACGATCCGTCTCGCTTGTCACGATGTGCAACCGTATCACACTGTCCCGCGGGATACTACACACGGATACACGATATGCACCACACGTTCTCTGCCACGTATGCGTGTTTACCGCACACCATGTACTCTACGTGTATACGTTCTCTATCTTCGTTCCCTGTTCCCCACTTGTTCGAACTTTTCTCGTTCTCTTTCGTGGCCTTCTTCCAGGTGTTCGTTGTTCCTTTCTCGCGCGTTTAACCCCTCGTGCCTTCAGCGATCCGAGGCGGTGACGAGCGTACAATTTAGAGGATTTCTAGGTCGAAGACCTGAGGGAATTTTTAATTGCTGAGGCAATGTTTAATTGCTGCATTCAGAAATCGAGGAACACGCAATTTAAAATGATTTGAATCGAGGCTAAATTTATAATTTTTATATTTTTGATAAGTGAATGTGACATGTATGGTTAATTAATATTTGCATTTTACGTGACGCACACGTGACACACTCGTGTCGCATACATGACGCACATAAGTTGCATTGGTGACGCACTGATGACGCACACGAGGTATCACGATGCACTCATGACGCACACATCATTGACATGACGCACCCAATATTGACGCGACGCACTACTGTCGCACCCACCACTGACGCGACGCACTCGTGACGCACCCATCATTGACGCGACGCACTTGTGACGCATTCATCATTGACGCGACGCACTCGTGACGCAGTCATCATTAACGCGACGCACTCGTGACGCACCCACCACTGGCGCGACGCACTCTTGACGCACCCATCATTGACGTGACGCACTCACGACGCACCTATCATCGGCGTGACGCACCCATGACGCACCCATCATTGACGTGACGCACTCATGACGCACCTATCATTGACGTGACGCACCCAATATTCACATGACGCACCCATCATTGACGTGACGCACTCATGACGCATCTATCATCGATATGACGCACTCACGACGCACCTATTATTGATGCGACGCACTCATGACGCACCCACGATGGACATGACGCACTCATGACGCATCTATCATGGATGTGACGCGCTCGTGACGCACCCATCATTGACGCGACGCACCTACCATCGACGCGACGCACCCAATATTGACGTGACGCACCCAATATTGACGTGACGCACTCATGACGCACCAACTATGCGTTCATGGCGCATTCGTGACGCACTCGTGACGCAATTTGGAGTACATTCGTGACGCATTGAGAATACACTCGTGATGCATTCATGACGCATTCGTGACGCACTCACGACATATTTGATATACATTCATGACGCACATGTGACGCACCTCAGCTATGATGAAGCTGAAAGTCACCTTCGACTGTAAAGGGTTAATACCTTTAACTTGAATTAAAATATTAAATTAAACATATTTGAAACTCTATTTTAAATTGCGAATTTCTCTAAAGGAACACCTCGATGTGACTCTAGATTGCATAATTTCTGCAAGCTTTAAAAACTACTAATAAAACTAGTATCAAATGTTACTATCATGAAGTAAAATCGCAAGTACGCCCAATATCGCCTCCGATCGTTCCACCGGCTAACGCAAAAAGAGAACTTTCGCGGCAAAAAAATCGAGGCAAGGGGTTAACCGTAAAAACCTCGCTAAACCGTTCGTTCTGTGGACCCTACTGCCCCCGAATTCGTTCACGATCGTGAAAAACTATCGTTCGCGTTCTCTTTCGTTGTCCGTAAACGACACTGCGATCGAAGTATCACGATACTCTTTGCACGCTCGTGGTGCCAAATTTTCGCACGATCACAAAAATAAGACTTAACGGTCGCGTTCCAGTTCTGGTGTCCTCTTGATTTCCATGAAGAGACGGATGTCTTCCACGGAACGTTCAATCGGATTTTATAAACTTTTTATACGCGTCGCTCAACGGACAGACTCGTCGCGCTTCGTTTCGTTTCGCTTCCTTTTTTTTGACCGTCAACCCTTCCCGTCACGATTTTTCCCCTTTGCAAAATTTCAAGCATTTCACAAAATAGGGACGCAAGTCTGATATAAAATGAGAATAAAATTGATCGCAGTAGGGTTGAAATGAAGAGCAAAATTATTTGGAGTGAAATGTTCTTAGGGAGAAATGGGCGGGAAGGGTTGAAAGAAATCGAGAAAGGGTTGCTTCGAAAACGCGTGTCCGTCGTGTCGGCGCTCCTCCAATTTTGTAATTTATCTACCTTCGTCGCGATCGTTTATCGACGTACCGTACTCGTTAACTTTCTCCCTTTCTCTCTCTCTTTATACGTATATATATATACATATATACACACACGCGTATACATATATACATATACATACGATCCGACAATGCGCGGTGATTTCCCTTCGAGAATCTTTTTCTCGATAGTTCGACGGTTGAAGAAAATGGCGTAGGTAGGTTATAAAAGGGGAGGGGGGTACAAAGGGGAATCACAGCGTTCGAGGGAAGGGGTTGCATTCCAAACCGTAGGAAATCTATTGTACATTGATTATTGATACATTAATTATGATAATAATAAATTATATACAAAGTCAGATCGTTCAGAGGTCTTCTTCGTTTTGGGTCTTTCGTTTCTTCGACCCCTCTTACTTTCGCGTTTACGTTCTCTCAGTTATTTTCTCCTCTCTAGTACTCTATTTTCAACCCCCTGCGCTCTACGCACAATTATCTTCTAAACTAGCATTCTGTAGATAATTTCGTAGTAATCGGAGCGCAGAGGGTTTCGCCCTTAGAGATATTATTTCCCGCTCCTCTTTCCGTTCTTCATTACCGTATCTTTTTATCGCACTCCCGGATTTGTTGGTCGACCGGATGACGATACCATGTGTGAGTAATCCCTAACAGTGCCTATCTTTACTGTCAATGTTTACTATTCTTTGCGGTTCGACGATTCGTTCACTTGTTCGATAGTTGCACCCCTTTGTTCTCTTTCGTCGCAACTTGATTCGTATGCTTCGTTCGTTTTGCCCAAGAGAACAGTACTTAATGGCTTGGACATTTCTCGAACTACGCTTCTCCTCGATATCTTTATTTGCTTCTTAGCTGCACGATATAGGTTTCAGCATGTTTCCGAGATGCACGTCTCGTAGTCTTTGGACCAGATTCTTTCGCAGGTTTGGTAATTAAAGGATGTTCTTGAGATACTTGGCTTCTGGAGAGAATTCGAAGGCGTACAATTTTTGGACGAGAAGACATTTATTCCGGAGTGGAACGCACATATGATACACCGGTGACGCACACGTGACGCACCCTTCAGAGTCGGGACGCACTCGTGACGCAGCGTTGAGTGACGTGACGCACCCTTAAGTGACGTGACGCACTCATGACGCACCCTTGAGTGACGTGGCGCACCCCTACGTGACGTGACGCACTCATGACGCACCCTTGAGTGACGTGGCGCACCCTTTAGCGGCGTGACGCACTCGTGACGCACACTTGAGTGTTGTGACGCACTCATGACGCACCCTTGAGCGATGCGACGCATTCATGACGCACCCTTGAGTGACGTGGCGCACCCTTTAGCGGCGTGACGCACTCGTGACGCACCCTCGAGTGACGTGACGCATTCGTGACGCGCCCCTAAGTGACGTGACGCACTCGTGATGCATCCTTGAGTGACGTGACGCACTCGTGACGCACCCTTGAGTGACGTGACGCACCCCTATGTGACGTGACGTACTCATGACGCACCCTTCAGCGGCGTGACGCACTCGTGACGCACCCTTGAGTGACGTGACGCATTCGTGACGCATTCGTGACGCACTCGTGACACACACATGAGCTAACCTTGTTACTTGGAACTTGGATGAATAAAGGAAGCAATAAACAATGTCGATTTTATTGATTTTAGTGACTTGCGTGATTAGAAATGGACCTACGTACCTGATTTTCTGGAGGACGAGTATTTCAAGAATTCGTTACCTAACCTTCAGCAAAAAAATTGGTCCATGAATCCAAGCGTCACTCAAGATTAAACATCGTCGCACGTTTAGATCCTGCACGATTCTGTTTTGAAATGATCCAACATCCTAGCTCTCTTGTTCTTTTCTTTTCTCGATTCCGTCGTTATGAAGGAAACAGTCAGCGAAGCAAAAGGGGCTGACGTTTCGATGCACCGTAGCATGCGATTCGAACTTATACTTTCTTCAGCATCTGTTATATCGTCAGTTGACGCGTCATGTTTTTTACTCTTTGTGGTTTTCCATTCCCGCCTTTTCGGAGAATTCCTTCTCTTATTTGTCTTCGTTTACAGATACCGAGACAGATAAGCAGGGAACGAAGAAACAGGAGAACAATAATTCCATGTTCGCCAACGATAAATCACCGGAGAAACGCACGAACGGTGTGTTGGAGACCAGCAACACGAGTATGGTTAACACTCCGGACTTAAGCCCGGTGAAAAATGTGAGAAACGGGGAGGTGGAGGATCCGGAAGTCCGAAAGACTAAGGTACGCCATTTTATTTCTTTAAAATACCAGGAGGTAAATCATCAAATTCACATTAAATCGTTCAAAAGGTTACAAGATAATTTACTAATTTTATTACGTAAGTTAATAATTAAAATAATTTTCTGATCGCCCTTGAATTCTTTGTGGCTGTTAATAGCTCATGTTTTCAAAACATGGCGTCACAAACAAGATAACAGTGTTATTGGAATAACGAGAATTCTAATTTTTCCTCTGACCTTAATATAATTCTTAGAAAAATTATTTTTCAGTGAATTCGATATCTCAGTTTAGTCTGACAGTAATAGTAAGCAGTTTTATTTTCGTGGAAGACCCACAAGTAGTAAGAGGAAAATTGAGTAATTGCTACAAACTAAATATAACAGAGAAATACAAAGAAATTTATTATTAATTATTTATGTACTATAAATTCTTACATAATAAATACGTGATTACTTCTCTTAGTCAAAGAGGCGACACTCTCTGTCGGCACCTTTGATCTCTCGAAAACACTGCCCCTTTAAACTGGTCGTACAAACGAGCGGGAAATTTAAATCGAGCAAATCTACTTTCATTCTTTAATAATTTGGAATATATTTATAATAAATTTCCTGTATATACTATTGTCTTTTTAGGTATTTTTATCAATTTTACGTCATTGTAAATGAAAAATTATATATCACAAGAAATTACAGATGAATGTGTTACAGATATGACAAAATATTTATTACAAATAAATTACAAGTGAATATGCAGGTTTAAACTATTCTTTTTCGACCGCCATAAACTGTGCGCATGCGCACTCCCCATTTTGAATTGGGCATTGGTCCTCTGTCATGTTAATCCCTTTTTAGGTTAGAAAATATATCTCAGAAACTGTCATTGAAATTTCAATTTGTCACACTTCTACTTATACCATTTTAAAAAAAGAATTTGTACGTCTATACATTAAGACTAATTTTGCATTGTTTGTAAAGCGATGGCCGACCGACAAAGCGTACTACATAGCGAAGGAGCTGTTGATGACCGAACGCACCTACAAGAAGGACCTCGACGTCATAAACGTGGTACGTAAAAAATAAATAAAACATTTGCATAATTATCAGCTTCACGCATATTTCTTCCGCAGTGGTTCAGAGAAGAGGTATCTCGAGAGACGGAATTAGAGGGTGAAGCGGTAGTTTCGCTGATCGAGCTTTTAGCGGACGTCCATGGGCCGTGCCTCCAAGAAATGGAGGCCAGATTGGAACGCTGGGAGAGTAATGCGCGGCACAACATCGGCGATTTTCTCTACAACACCTTGTTGAACGTGCTGCCGCTTTACGATCAATATCTGGAGAACCTAATACCCGTACTCGAGAAGATGGAATATTATACGAGGACGTCGAGACGCTTCGATCAACTCTGCCGCGATTTCGAGGCGCAGAAACATTGTTATCTACCTTTAACTTCATTCCTTTTAAAGCCGTTGCAACGATTGTTGCACTACAACAGTATTATCGATAGTACGTTATTTTGTCTCTTTAAGTACCTTTGTTTCCATGGAACTTATTGGTTATTTATGTTTTTTAGGACTATTAGACCATTATCCGAAGGATCATACAGATTTTGAGGACTGCTTGGCAGCTAGGGATCGACTGGGAGAAACTTTGCTTGAAGGGCTTAGCATAATTAATCAAGCGGTTAGTGTGTCTACATAATGTACTCTGTACACTGGATATCTTGTGTGATATGATCTGAGCTACTGGAAGTCTACTGTGACATGATCTGAGACATTGGAGATTTAATGTGAGATGATCTGAGACATTATAAACATAGTTTGTTATGGTTCAAAACACTAGAGACATAGTATGACATGATATAAAACACTAGAGACCTACTGTGAGATAATTTAAGATACTAGAAATCTATTGTGATGTGATCAAACACACTAGAGATCTAGTATGACATGTTCTATAGCACTAGAGACCTAGTATGAGATAATCTAAGACAGTAGAGATCCATTGTGATATGATCTAAAGCACTTGAGACCTACTATGAGATAATCTAAGACACTAGAGATCTAGTATGAGATAATCTAAGACAGTAGAGCTCCATTGTAACATGATCTAAAGCACTAGAGGCCTTGTATGAGATAATCTAACACACTAGAGATCTAGTATGACACTTAAAACATTAGAGATCTGATTTTTATCTTAAACATAGGAGAACCTGGTTCAATTATGTGAGATGCAAAGGGACATCGGTGGTTTCGACAACTTGGTTCAAGAAGGTCGCAGATTCATCAGACAAGGCTGTCTGCAGAAATACAGCCGGAAAGGATTTCAACAAAGAATGTTTTTCTTGGTAAGAAACTCTGGAGCATATGTATGTATTATTTCAGTATGTTCATTAGGTTTAATGTTTTAATTTAATTGCAGTTCTCCGACATACTACTGTACACATTCCGCACCCAACAATCGACCCAATGTTTCCGCGTGCACGGTCAGCTCCCATTAAAAGGAATGAAAATCCGCGAGAGCGACAATAAAACCGGATCCGACTACGCATTCATGATCGACGCTCAGGGAAATCAGTGAGTATCTTGATCACAGCACTGTGTTCCGTTCAAGTAAATTATTGGACTTAACGAGGTGTTAAAAGGACAGGGTCTGTATAGCTATTAAGAGGTCAATTGGCCGTTGCGAGTTCACTTAATCCAATTCGTAAACGTTCCAGATGGTTCGTTGAACATTTCGGCGACGTACTTTTTCGTCAACATCTTCACACTATTTCTAGACTTTGTAGACTATATTGTCTTGCATTTTAATTGCGTAGATCTTTGACCGTTGCTGCGAGCAACGAGGAAGAAAAGGAAAGATGGTTGGAGGATTTGACCCAGGCCATAGCGCAAGCTGACGCGGATCCAAAAATGCCCTACTTGAACCTGAAATCTTGCAGTAAGCTTCATCTCATAATCTAATTGGTATGCTTGCTATGTAATATCAAATTCCAGGCTCCGCCGACGAAATGGGCGACGGTGCGTTGGAAGGGGAGAGAGGAACCTGCGGAGGTGCCAAAGATTCCCAGCGAAGCAACACCACCGTGCACGTTTGCTGGCACCGAAACACTAGCATCAGTTACAGTGATCAATTACGAGCATTTCAAGTATGCACCTTGTCGCAATTACAGTGTATTCGAGATTCAGAACGATAAATTATTTCAGAACCAACTCAGCGGATTTCTGTTGCGGAAATTCAAGAACAGTAACGGTTGGCAAAAGCTCTGGGTCGTGTTCACCAATTTCTGTTTGTTCTTTTACAAATCTCACCGGGACGACTTCCCGCTGGCGAGTTTGCCCCTGCTAGGATACACCGTGACTACTCCCTCGGAGAAGGATGGCATCAACAAGGATTTCGTTTTTAAACTACAGTTTAAGAGTCACGTTTATTTCTTCCGCGCTGAGAGCGATTATACTTTTGGAAGGTGAGAATTTGTAGTGTTTTAGAGGCGTAGAGTCGCATTTGTTTACGATCATCTTGTTTACAATACAGTCTGTTTAAAATTTGCGCCTTCTAAAATTCCAAGATGGCCGCTAGACGCTGTCGTTCCCGCGTCTGCGCGCGCATCGCGGTCTGATTGGTCCATGTTCTTTTCGTAATAATTCAAAAGCGAAGCGTCAAACGCCATTTTTGCAAAGGGAAATCTTATTCAGAATAATGTCAGCTGTAGACTTAAGGTAATAAAATTGAAATATTTTTCCAGGTGGATCGAAGTGATCCGAAGCGCCACTCAGCAGAGCCACGTGTCGCTGAACTTCATAGGAAAAGAAGGATATTAACGCGTGTACGTCATAGAGTATTGAATCCACGAAGAAACGTTTGGACGTCTACGCCAACGGTTTTAGTTTTATAATGTAATATTAAAGCGAAGTAATCTCAAGTTTATCAGGGAACCTGTACGAACGTAACATAACTTTGCGGCCTTATTCGTGAATTAAAATCAAATTACGATCGAAACTGTGATCGACAATCAAATCGAGTATCAAAATGTTTTTTAAACGTTATAGGCAAAATCGAAGAAGTGACAGGAGACCTTCAGGTTTTCTTGTACTTCGAAACGAGTAGATACGCTTGTAGGATAATTGGAATAACGATTTGAGCGTTCGTTAAACTCGTACAAATAATTTGATACGTACTCGTCGAAGATTCGTCGTGAATTAGATATTAACTTGGACCAATTTTATAACAGTTTCGTTAGCGTGTCTTGCAGAAAGAAAAGACAATAATTTTGTTAGCGTAGTTTCTCGTTATTAAATGAACGGTAGACTATTGGTAAGCATTTTATAATTTTACGTTCTTCGTGTTAATTTTACCGTGATTCTTTCGAGGCAATATTACGTAAAGACTGGCTATGCAAAACGAAAAGTGCACCATGCGGGTAAACATTTCATGCGAGAGAATCTACGAGAACGTACGGTAGTTTACACAAGCTCACTCAGCTATGGATAAAGTCACCGTACGATAAAGAGAAGAGTTATCTGTTTTTTAGTTATAATTGTTTTGTTATAGAATTTAATTAATAATATATGCATATATATAAATATATATACATGTATAAAGATCAAAGAAAATTAGTTTTATACCGAAAGTCGGACAAGTTTCCGGACGAACATTGTTCGTGCATTTGGCGTCTCTCGAATTGCCAAATTTGTACGTTTATTTTCAAAAGCATCAACGCAACGTTTTATAACGTAAGCTGCACGTCATTATGTAACGGCATGTATCGATATTTCGCAATAAACGTACATACTTTTAATTAATCGGTTGATCGATCACCAATTACTATTCCAGACTAATTAATGTTAACGCGTTAGAGTTAGTCATAAGCTACGTTCCACAATTTAATTAATGTAAACTCCGAACATCGAACTTATTCTTTACCGTTCACGTGTGAACAGTACCGTAATATGTACAAAGGACTTAATCGCGTGAAAAAATCTCGTGGAAATACCCATACAGTGATCGCTGATAATCGTTTCTCCGATATCGCGGTTAAATTATAACGAGCCAGTCAAACGAGTCGATGTGAGAACAGAAAATGCAAACAATCCTTGCGAGCGGTAAATCAAGGAAAACCGATTGTGTCGATGTCTATATTTAAATACGGGATCAGCAATCTTTCGGTAATGCGTGAAAGCGACTGCTTCCGAGAAAACAAATCGACGCGGAAATTGTGCACGTAATCGAATGTTATGCGATTTAGGTCAATGTCTAAACGCGGGGTTATCGGTGCGGTCGCAAAGCTTTCGTCGCTGGGAATCGATTAGATTGATTGTCGCTGTGAGTTTGAAATTTCCAATGACGTAATCTATGAAATAAGGATTTACAGATTGTTATCGGGCAGAATTTGGAATCCCCGTGGGTCGTGTAAACCATGAATACAGAACTCGAACAAAGGACTAGACAGGAAAAATGCTGCGAAGGATATGAGAAAGTAAGATGAGCTTCAAGGATTATCTGACAGATATGACATGGCATAGATAGGATATTGATTGAAGATGTTTTTATGTAGGTACATCGTCAGAGATGGATGGAGAGATTGCAGATTTTTTTGTGGAGGATCAAGATGGATGGTGGACTTACCATGGACTTGTGGATGACTCATATTTATATTAAAAATGAAATACTAGCTTTAGTAGCTTTTTACTAGTAATACTAGCTTCTACTAGATTTTAACTAGAAATACTAGCTTCTATTAGCCCCTAGTAGCATCTACTAGCTTCTACTAGCTTTTGACTAAAAATACTAGCTCCTAGTAACTTCTAGTAGCATCTACTAGCTTCTAATAGCATCTACTAGTTTTTAGTAGCATCTACTAGTAACTACTACTAGCTTCTAACTAGAAATACTAGCTTCTTCTACCTTCTACTAGCTACTGACCAAAAATACTAGCTTCTAGTAGCTTCTAGTAGCATCTACTAGCTTTTAGTAGCATTTACTAGTAATTACTACTAGCTTCTACTACCTTCTACTAGCTACTGACTAGAAATACTAACTCCTAGTAGCTTCTACTAGCTTCTAGTAGCATCTACTAGCTTTTAGTAGCATCTACTAGTAACTACTACTAGCTTCTAACTAGAAATACTAGCTTCTACTACCTTCTACTAGCTACTGACCAAAAATACTAGCTCCTAGTAGCTTCTAGTAGCATCTACTAACTTCTAGTAACATCTACCAGCTTTTAGTAGCATCTACTAGTAATTACTATTAGCTTCTATTACCTTCTACTAGCTACTGACTAGAAATTCTAGCTCCTAGTAGTTTCTAGTAGCTTCTACTAACTTCTAGTAGCATCTACCAGCTTTTAGTAGAATCTACTAGTAATTACTATTAGCTTCTACTACCTTCTACTAGCTACTGACTAGAAATTCTAGCTCCTAGTAGTTTCTAGTAGCTTCTACTAGCTTCTAGTAGCATCTACCAGCTTTTAGTAGCATCTACTAGTAGCTACTACTAGCTTCTAACTAAAAATATTAACTTCTACTTCCTTCTACTGACTTCTAACTTGAAATACTAGCTTCTACTAACTACTACTAGTTTCTAACTAAAAATACTAGCTTCTACCACCTACTACTAGCTTCTAACTAGCAATACCATCTTCTGTTAACTTCTACTAGCTCCTAACTAGAAATACTAGCGTCTACTAGGTACTACTAGCTTCTACTAACTAGAAATACTAGCTTATAAGTATTTTGAGTGTTAAACCTTGATAATTTCTGTAACTAAAAATTGCAGGGTAAATACAGTGTGAAGACAACATAGAGAAGAGGGTTTGGATAAGAGTTGATCTCACCTTAGCCTTGGCCAGCGGCAGTTTTTTTGCCCTCGTTGTGTGCCGTTTTACGCTCGGATCTCCGTTCGCAGAAGCGACGACGGTTCACAGGAAGACCGCGGGAAATTAGAGTGGGAGCGACGATATAAAGATGAGCGTCCGCAACAATCGGAATAGGAGAATCTATTCATCATGCGGAGATATCGAACGATTGGCATCTTCGCCCTAGTGGCGTTTGCCTGCATTCAGGCGCAAGGTACCATTTCTTCTAACCATTTATTTTATCATCCACGATTTCATATTGGTTCATTGCTTTTATATTTTCATCCTTGAATGGTGTTGATTATTTTTTTATTCTTTAAATCTTTGATCTTTGATTTTTTACTGTTTGAGTGGTTTTTGAGGAATCTTTGATTTTTAATTCTTTGAGTGGTCTTTCATTTTTAATTATTGGAGTGATCTTTGTATTTTGACTCTTTGAGTGGTCTTTGATTTTTGATTCTTTGAGTGATCTTCAATTTTTAATTCCTTGAGTGATCTTTGATTTTTAAGTGACTTTATGACCTTGAAAGTTTAAGTCATTTATTATACTGTTTGTGTTGTGAGATTTTATGTAAATATTATTCTGAATAACACTTGTTATCCAATCAAATATTTTTTATGTGTCCATGAGAGTTATGAAAGATAATTCCACTGCTAGTGTAATCAAAACTATACAGTAAAAAATAAATTTTGGAAAGTACAGAGTTCTACTAGTTCACTTTTAATGACTTTTAAGGAGTTAACAATTAAAAGATCTGAGAATTTGGAACTTTGAAAACTTGTGGACTTCAGAGCTTAAAAATTAAAATTCTAAAAACCTTAAAAATGTGAAAGTGTTAAAAATAAAAATACTTGAAATTCTAAAAATTTAAAAGTGCCCAAAAAATCAAAATACCATAAACCTTAAAAATTTGAAACTGCCTTAAAAATCAAAATACCAGAAATCTTAAAGATTAAAAAATTCCAAGCCTCAAAAACTCCAAATTTCCCAAACCGCAAAATACAAGAATGTCCGACCACAAACGCCACCAACATCCTAATCCATCCACTGCATTCTATCCGCCTTGAACGCGCGGCGCGAATACTAGTGACGCCATTATTACCCCTGGTATTCGTCTCGCGTTGATATTCGAATCGAGATTAAGCAATAAAACGTTTATTTTTTCGTAGCGGAAGAACTACGAGCAAAACGTAGCCCACATGGATTCGAGCTAGGAGACTTGAGCAAATCGCTCGCTGGAGGATTAGGAGGAGGATTGGGAGGAGGATTTGGCGGTGGATTCGGAGGAGGATTCGGCGGAGGCGGCGGTGGAGGCGGAGGTGGCGGTGGAGGATTCGGTGGAGGCGGCGGTTTTGGATCCGGTGGTGGATTCGGTGGTGGAAAAGGCGGAGGCGTTGGCGGAGGTGGCACTAAGGGCGGTAGCGGGTGCTCCTCTGGACAGTGCGGTAATTATTTACAATTTAATTTTTGCATTTTTTAACTTCTTTTAACAATTTCTTATTTTACAAAATATATATGAAGAGTTTTTATATAGTTTCTTTACTTTACAGGCCTTACTTTGCACTCCTTATTTTACAAAATATATAAGAAATTTTTATTAACATTGCAACAATTTTCCTTACATTATACTTCTTACTTTGCACTCCTTGTTTTGCAAAATATGTATGAAAAGTTTTCATTAAAATTGTAACAATGTATAATATGACAAACATATTGTTATTATATATTTTTCATTTAGTATATATAGTAAATTATATGTGTATTTAATTAATCTACTTACCTGAATTATTTATAAAATCAAAGAGAAATATAGGAGTTACATATACACTCAACATAGCAGTGCATAGGATTAGTATACTACTTCTGAAACAATGTATCTCTAGCTTGATATACATATCTAGGTATCCCTAGCTTGGTACACATTTCTAGGCATCCATCTAAATGGTAAACATTCCTCTTAATGTCTTTCAGTCTTAAGTCACATATGACTTAATATTTAAATATTTAATTTAATACTTAATATTCATGACTTAATTATTTGTCTATTTGTTACAATTTTACTAGGCAACTGTATTCATAATTACCTAAATAAATACCTGTAGTGTATTATTATTACACAATTATTATACAATAAATTCATCAAACAAAATTTTTCAGGTTCTGGAGGAGGTCATGGAGGTGGAGCTGGAGGCGGACTCGGAGGTGGACTCGGAGGTGGAGCCGGAGGTGGATTAGGAGGTGGTGGTGGACTAGGAGGTGGAGGTGGATTAGGAGGCGGAGCCGGCGGTGGTGCAGGAGGTGCCGGTGGCCACGGAGGTGGAGCCGGAGGTGCCGGA